ACATTTTCGGAACCCAACGTGAACACAATTTCCGGTAATTCAAGTTCTCGGTCACAATGCGATACAAAACACTACGAGAACATTGAGGAAAGTAGTCGCACAATGATGAAATTGTAAAGCGTCTGTTTTCGTTCACCTTTTCGTCCACTTTCTGCACCAAATCTTCATTAACGACCGAAGGACGCCCACTCCGTTCTTCATCATGCACATTTGTGTGGCCATCTTTAAATGCTCTCACCCATTTCCTTACCATTCCATCACTCATAATGTTTTGTCCGTAAACTTCACAGGTCTCACGATGAATATCGATCGGTTTTACGCCTTTAGCACTAAGAAATCGTATGACAGCCCCTACTTCACAATCGGCGGGGCTCACGATTGTCGGAGGCATCTTAAACACTCAATAAACAACGTATACAATGAAGAATCAGACTGTACTAGCGTTTGTGCATAGACAAGAGAGTAACCAGCGCGCATGCGCGGAACGCCGACCGTAGCGCTGCAGCGGCGGAATCGCAAAACGGTACTTACTTAAAAACATGCCTCGTATTAAAATGGAGCTGCGTGGTTATTGCAGCCACCCCTTCAATTTCTATGTCACGCAGTATACAGGGTGAGTTTCTTACGATGTTCTCTATGGGTATCTCGGAAACTACTGGAGATAGAGAGTCGGTTAAATGGGCAGTTTTGTGGGGTTATAAATATGCGCCTTTCAGATTTTTGAAAAAGTTCATGGCTTACTAGATATTTTGAAAAAAACAAATTTCGGCTATTTTAAAAATTGTTTCTAATTCCATTATAATCTATTTTAGACAAAAAGTTTTCAGATAAAAGTAGTAGATAATCACGGCCTTAATGAGATTGTGTCCTCCGTTTTTTTCTAAAGCCTGTCATTTTTGACATATGACACAAACATATGTTTTTTTAAATAGAAACCATAGTTGGCCATGACTTTATACAAAGCGCTATTTTTTAAGCTTTTTAGCGGTATAAGCTATAATATGTTTCTTTCGAAAAAATACTGAGTTATAGCCAATTCTTATAATTTTTAAACAATTTCACTTAGTTAGCCATGGAAACAAGTGCAATCGTCGTTGCTCTCAGTAATGTGAAACTGTCACATCCAAACTTTATAAATTAAAATAAACAAAAATTGTAAATATGAATTTTTCAAATGATGAAAAGCGTGTAGGATTATTATTGGTTCAACTTTTCTTGGTCATACATTTTCGAGGATACGTTGACCGGTGAACGTTACTTTTTTACGTTTTTTAGAAAAGTTAAATTTAGATACTTGCGGCCCATGCAATTGGTCCACCTCTTCCTATCCCTGAGTTTGCATAATTATGATATAAATAGTTTTTAACATTTAGTGCATTATTATGGGGAGTGTTATAATGAAAGTCATATTGGAACCATTCTATTGAAGCGCAAGTATATAAATTTAACTTTTCTAAAAAACGTAAGTAACGTTCACCGGTCAACGTATCCTCGAAAATGTATGGCCAAGAAAAGTTGAACCAATAATCCTACACGCTTTACTTCATTTGAAAAATTCATATCTACAATTTTTGTTTATTTTAATTTATAAAGTTTGGATGTGACAGTTTCACATTTCTGAGAACAATGAAGATTGAATTTGTTTTCATGGCTAACTAAGTGAAATTGTTCAAACATTATAAGAATTGGCTATAACTCAGTAATTTTTCGAAACAAACATATTATAGCTTATATCGCTAAAAAGCTTAAAAAATGGCGCTTTTTATGAAGTCATCGCCAACTATGGTTTCCATTTAAAAAAACATATGTTGGTGTCATATCTCAAAAATGACAGGCTTTAGAAAAAACGGTGGACACAATCTCATTAAGGATGTGATTATCTACAACTTTTATCTGAAAACTTTTTGTCTAAAATAGATTATAATGGAATTAGGGACAATTTTTAAAATAGCCGAAATTTGTTTTTTTTTAAATATCTAGTAAGCCATGAACTTTTTCAAAAATCTGAAAGGCGCATGTTTATGACCCCACAAAACTGCAATTCTTTCCCTATTTAACCGACTCTCTATCTCCAGTAGTTTCCGAGATACCCATAGAGAACATCGTAGGAAACTCACCCTGTATATTATTGAAATTTATGAAATTAGAGAAATCTGCCTTATACCATAAAAAGGTAATAAAAAAGTGCAAATACTTAGACAGCGTAATTCAACAAAATATACAGTTCATACCAAATAAACTTTTAGTCACGTTATTAAGCTTGATCGGCACAGCGTTGCCCACTTCTATAGATTTTCTTTTAATCAAAATATTTCAGGAAACAAAAATACATTAATTATAAATATATAAACAGTTATTACTTACATCAAAAATACTAACCTTTTTAACAGCACTTAAGGGACATTATGTTTTCCCGTTCAAAATATTCTAATAAAGTTACGATGAGTTTTTACGGCTATTAAGCTATCTTGTACACTTTGCACTAAAAGAGGTTCTAAACAGAACAATGTTCGACTGCAAGGTCTGCTAGTAAACATTTTTAAGCTTAAAGTATCACAACAATATTTATTTAAACCAAAAACTCGTAATACAACAAAACTACTAAAGTGTCAAAACGAATAATAATGTCAGGAAATAGGTAAATAAATAAATGCGGCCACTTGACATTTCTTACAGCAGAGCTACCACCCGAATCCCCAGCGCGAAATTTAAATTCCAGTTAGACAGCACGGCGTCGAATATGTCCATGGTTGGCAACAATGAATTTAAAAATCGCGCCCTCGATTACGTACCTAAAAGTTTAATTGATATCAAATATATATTTATATTTTCAATGGAATATTACAAATTATATAGGGTGTTCGAAAAAATGCAGGTCCAAAATTCTGAGGGTGATTCCTTATCAAAAAGTAGTAAATATACATGAATTTAAAAATCCCGCCATCGATTACGTAACTAAAAGTTTAAATTGGTATCGAATATACAGGATGGCGCACCTTATTCGCCTCGGTTGAATATACGAAAACGGAAAGATGTAGAAACAAAATATTTTATGGGAATATGTGAGGAGGCAATGTGCACAATATAAAATTATTTTGAAATATACAGGGTGTTTCAGAGCTAAGATCCATACCAAAGTTATATTTTTTCTTATGGAACACCCGGTATTTTATTTCATTTTCAGATTCCTGGGCCCAAAAAAGACATTTATTATAAGGGTTAAATATGTTTAAAATCATTGGTTTTTGAGATATTTAAAGATATTTAAAATTGCATGCTACTATAGAATAGATTATTAACACCCTGTACATTAGTTTTCAGAATTAATTCTTGTGCTGAGTTTAAAGATAAAGAAATAAACTTTAATGAAAAATGGCATTGCTTCCTTAAATTTATACAGGGGTATCAAAAATTGCTGATCTATTTTAAGGATTTATTTTATATAAAAACTTCGTTATTTCAACACCCTGTATTTTTTATAATAAATCAAGGCAGATTCAAATGCTCTTTCAAACTATATTAGGGTTTCCTATACCTATCTAGCTCAGATTTTGAATAAAGAGCATTTTTTCAATAAAATGGCAACCAAGAGGGCTAGAGTCGTCATGGCAAGTTTCTAGTGACAGTTAGTAGCTATTTTCAAAATCGAAATTAGTTTATGGGCTTATTTAAATTTATACCAGTTTACTTTTATTTAATTTACCTACAATAGTTTAATAAATAATATTTATTAAATATGTATTTATTATTCTATCAAGAAAAACGAAGAAGTAGTTCTTTTATTTACTTTACGATAACTTGTAGATATATGGATTTTATATAAAAGAGATAACTACGGCAAATTCATTTCCTTCACTTCCAACGACAGGTTTCTGCCTAACAGTTTTTTTTATAAACAACACTACCAGCTCTGCGAAATAGGACATGTAGTTTTTCAAAGGAACGCTTATCAGGAAGATTTCTGTTTTCGGATACCTTTGAGCATAAGCTCTTGAGGCCAAGAAGCAATTTTCTTCACAAAATAAAATCACTACAAACATATCCATTCGTTTCGCCAGCAGATACTGCTTTATTTTTCTTGATAAAATAATGAATACTTACTTATTAAACTATTGTAGGTAAATCTAAGTAAACTGTTATAAATTATAAATAATAATGTCCATAAACTAATGCCGACCTTGAAAATAGTTACTCACTGTCACTAGAAAATTGCAATAACGACACACTAGCCATCTTGATTGCAATTTTATTTAAAAATCGCTTTTTATTCAAAATCTGAGCTAGATAGGTATAGGAAACCCTAATATAGTTTGAAAGAGCATTTGAATCTGTTTCGGTTTATTTAAACAAATACAGGGTGTTGCATTTAATACAACGAAGTTTTTATATAAAATAAATCCTTAAAATAGATCAGCAATTTTTGATACCCCTGTATAAATTTAAGGAAGCAATGCCATTTTTCATTAAAGTTTATTTCTTTATCTTTAAACTCAGCACAAGAATTAATTCTGAAAAGTAATCTAGGTGTTAATAATCTATTCTATTGTAGCATGCAAATTTAAATATCTCAAAAACCAAAGATTTTAAACATATTTAACCCTTATAATAAATGACTTTCTTTGGGCCCTAGAATCCAAAAATGAAATAAAATACCGAGTGTTCCATAAGAAAAAATATAACTTTGGTATGGATCTTAGTTCTGAAACACCCTGTATATTTCAAAATAATTTTAAATTGTGCACATTGCCTCCATACATATACCCATAAAATATTTTGTTTCTACATCTTTCCGTTTTCGTATAATCAACCCAGGCGAATGAGGTGCGCCACCCTGTATATAAAATCATTACAGGCTCTAAAATCCTGTATATAAAAGTATACATGGTATACATTTTCGGAGTCATGTTTATAAGAACCTTTCTCATATTTTTTGAATAGGAATTACCCCCTGAATACTGGCCATGCCTTTTCGAACATCCGGTATTATAATAGTTTCTAACTTAAAATATCTTCTAAAGCCTCTTCAATATCGTCATAAAGATACAAAAGGTCACAAATCAGCTCAGTCAGACGAAATTCGATTGTCCACAACTTTCCTTCCTTATAAAATATAATTAAAGCGTTTAAAACGACTCGATGAGTGCTTTTTGGAAACAGTCGTATCAGTTCGCTGTAAGAATTCATACATTCCATTGCCTGTTTCCTTAAAAGAAATATTTGTGTTTAGTGCCGCTGAATTTATCCATAAAATATAATTTAAACTTTAGTTATACAGGGTGTCCCAGGCTGAGCGTGCATTAGAAGTTTCTAGAGGACTACAATATCAAGATCGAAGATTTTTTGCACACCATTGTTTCACAATGATATCTGTTGATTAAAAATATTTTCAATATGGCGGCACTTCCGGAAATACCGGAAGCTGACAACAACTTTCTTATTTTAAATGCGTACCCCCATTTTATATTATATATTTAAATTCTCTATGAAATTTTATGAATTATTATATCAAACACTCTATACCTAACATTAACCCGAGGGGTAAACCGCAGAGGGAAAAGTGTACACCGTAATTCCTTTTACTCAAATAATTCCTCAGAATTCCTCGTAATTCCTTCGGAATTCCTTGGAATTTCTGGTCTTCAAGGTCAAGGTCAATCATTCAAGGTCTTCCTTGGAATTCCTTGGTACGAACTCGTTAACTCCTTCAGTCTGAACCAGCGTTAATTGCCACCTCGGTTTCGCAGTTCCGCTATGAATTTTCTGGTGATTTTTATAAATGTCTAATGTCTCTATAAGTACTAGATCTAACAATAAAAAGTACTATTACGAGATTTACGTTTTTTAGTTAAATTTTAGGACTAATAGGGGATCATGAGGTAAAAATACTGGAAATATGTCGGCACTTACTTATTAAAATTAATTTTCTCGGGATTTTTTGAAAATGATAGGTACCTAGTTATACTCGTATCTATAGGAAAGGAAATTAATAAAACTTCAGTTGCACGTCATAATACGATCACCAGTAAATTCCATAAGATTACGCATGGTATCATTGATGAAGTGCACCTAAAGTTGTATTAATTTCCCTATAGTATATACCTAGGTATTATTCCGAGGAAATGAAAAAATCAACTTTACACTTTCTGGAGTACTGAATAAAAAAATCTTATGAGGGTTTCTTTAAAATGGCGAAATCAGGGAACGTTATAAGTAGATCTCTCGGGGGTGGTTCGGCCGTACTATTGGAAAATATTTTAGATATATAATCGAGGGTACAATATTAAATTAAAAGAATATCTAACCTGTAGATATTTGATATTGGGAAATTTTGGAAGCGAAAACGAAAAACGGATAGTAAAAAATCGCCTGCAAAACGTTTTTCTTTAAATTTAGTACTACCTATTATAGTATTCATGGTTTACTAATGTTCGTTAATTTTTTATAAAGTTGCTTGTAATTCCTCTTAATTCCTGTGGAATTCCTCTAAATTTCTAAGGAATTCCTTGGAATTCATTGGAATTCTTACGGAAATAATTGGAATTCCTAGTAATTCCTATGGAATTCCTGTAGAATTCCTTCATAGTGTACACCATAATTCCTCTGCGGTTTACCCCTCGCATTAACCGTTTTTTTAAGGAAAAAAATTTTAAAATTTTTGGAGGAAAAAAACCGCCTGTCAGAAAAATTTGTTAATTTAAACGTCAAACATAGTGATTACCACTAGGGGGGTGACAGTAAACCGGAAAATTGGAAACAGTTGTGGCGCGGTTCTACCCAGGCAGAAAGCATGGCCTTCTAGACTGTCCTAGACAAAAATCTGAATATTTCTATATGATTTCTGTCAATTTCTGCTACGGAACATTTTTATGCACGTCGACGTCCTGTTCTTTTTTGTCTTTTTGTCTGTGTGTCAGCATCAGCTCCCGAGGCCTCTGGCAAGGTCGGGCGCCATTTTAATTTTGCCGTTTAGATTTGATTGGAAGTTTGTTTCTGATATTTCGGCTGAAATTTATAAGTACAAAGATGTTTTTTGATATAAAGATCCTTGTTAACACTTTAATAAAGTATATATGATATTAATTACATGAAGAAAATGATGAAATCGACGTTTCTGCGTGTAGTAGGTATGGGCCATATTATATGTAAAAATAGATAATATATTAACTGTTTTTAAATTTTTTTAGCTTTAAACCCAAGCATCTTGGGATATTCTTTGCCAAGGATTTTTCCGTATCTCTACTTTAAAGACTGATCGGTGATTTTGAGCAACTGAAATCAAGTTATACAAGGTAAATTATGATTATTGAACTATTATTAGCCTACATTAATTTTCTACAAGATGAACAGAAATGCGTAATTACATATCACATAGGTACCTATTATGTATTTTCATAGCAATAATGCATGTAGATTATTTTTAAATGTAGTTTTTAATGTAGTTTTCATGTATGTAGATTATTTTAAAATACAAATGAGGTATTAGATGTATATGTATCATATTTTTTATTCATTTTATTTTCATTCAAGTCTTGTTTGATTTAATTCACAAAAGTCTTATGTGCCTATATTTATGTTTTTTACATATTTTTTTTGATTCCAGGTTTTGTGTGGGTTCCGGTTGCCTTTTTCCTGCTTCCAGTTATTTAGTTTTATGCCCGTGAAGCTGTGAAAACATTTATTTATCTTCAAGTTTCTGTAAGTCCAATGCACTGTTACTTTACTAATTCACTTTAACACAGCATCTCTGATATTATTTAAATATTTGATATTGATACAGTAGTTTATTGGTTTATAGCTCTTTATTTGTGTTGATTTGCATATTTACATTGTTCTAAATTCCAAATAAATATTTTTGAGTAATTTTGTTGTATTATTTACTACTAGAAAGAGTAAAAGGTATATTAACCCTCATTTAAACCTCCTTAACAGCCCGCCATTAAAAACCGGAAACGGAAATAAATTTCATAAAATTGAAATTGTCATGTCTATGTCATGTCAAATGTCCCAGCCGTCATATCTGAAAATTAGTTACCCAGGCAGCCACGCTGTTTCCATAATTTAACATTGACTTGACACTTCTTCTTGTATTTATTATTATATGATTTCCACAGCCATTGTGACATAAAGAGAAGACTAGATGCTATCTATTTCAAAAATTAAACTGTTTGAATGTCACATAATATTGGCCGAAGCTGTCATGGAATTCAGAGATTAAAAAATTATCATAAATAATTTTTTTTTTCAAATGGAAAGCCCCTTTTTTATTTCACTAGCGAAAAAGTTTTTTAATTCGTTACTTTTTGATTATACATGTTCTTATACATAAAATGTATGGCTTTTAAAATATTTAAGATTTAAGATTTAGGTTTAGGCAGGGGCGGATACAGGAATTTATTTTAGGGGGGGGCCAAAATAAAAATCAATATAGAATATGCTTTTTAGAGCGCCATTTTTAACCAAAAGCCTAATATTTTACACAATTTAGAGATTTTAGGGGGGGGCCGGGCCCCATGAGCGAATGGTCCGTGGTTTAAATCTCACGCCGACCAAGACTTTTTTATTTTTTTTTTGCTTATAGCGTGATCTTATTGCATTGGTCAACATTGGTTTTACTCTTTTTGGTTGGATTGGTTTGGTGGTATATTTGGTGGGTTGGTTAGCTTGGTTATTTGGAGGGTATTAATTCATTGGTTAGTTGGTTATTTGGTGGGGTTGGTTGGTTTTTACTATTATATATTATTATTATATTTGTTTTTCATTTTTTTTATCAGTGTCGAGGTTAGTTGCGTTGGTTAAGTCGGTTATTTGGTGGGGTGCATAGCGTTGGTTAGTCCTTATAAAATTCCTATATTTCATAAAGCCGTCAAGTGTCACATCAACGACATCATACATCTATTAACGGCATTTTAGTAAGCTACCGTTTAACGACAGTTTAAGTACAGCCTTGTTTTTCTGTCAATTTATCTAATTATAATGGATTATACGGCTCCCCTCGCTTTATGATTTTAGTTTAGTTGTTTTAATTTTCAAATTGAGCTTGCCATAATGTTATCTGTGATTGAACAATTATTGTGATAGAAATAACCTTTTAACCTTTAAAAAAAAATAACTTTTTAAATTGTTTTCTGATCGCATTTTATAATTTTGACATCTATATGACTATTGGAATTTTCTATTATTCTGATTGTAATTTTTTAGATTTCTGGGCCTGAAGATGGGAATTGTCAAGTCCCGCCAAAACCAAACATGTCGCCCCCCTGCTTTTTTTGAAGAATTTAAATTTAAATAAAAATTTTAAAGATTGTGAGTTATTTGTCCCCTTACCCGCCTTCAGAAGTTTTACTTTGATTTAAGATTTAGGTTTAGGCAGGGGCGGATACAGGAATTTATTTTAGGGGGGGCCCAAAATAAAAATCAATATAGAATATGCTTTTTAGAGCGCCATTTTTAACCAAAAGCCTAATATTTTACACAATTTAGAGATTTTAGGGGGGGCCCGGGCCCCATGAGCGAATGGTCCGTGGTTTAAATCTCACGCCGACCAAGACTTTTTTATTTTTTTTTGCTTATAGCGTGATCTTATTGCATTGGTCAACATTGGTTTCACTCTTTTTGGTTGGATTGGTTTAGTTATTTGGTGGGTTGGTTAGCTTGGTTATTTAGAGGGTGTTAATTCATTGGTTAGTTGGTTATTTGGTGGGGTTGGTTGGTTTTTACTATTATATATTATTATTATATTTGTTTTTCATTTTTTTTATCAGTGTCGAGGTTAGTTGCGTTGGTTAAGTTGGTTATTTGGTGGGGTGCATAGCGTTGGTTAGTCCTTATAAAATTCCTATATTTCATAAAGCCGTCAAGTGCGTCACATCAACGACATCATATCTATTAACGGCATTTTAGTAAGCTACCGTTTAACGACAGTTTAAGTACAGCCTTGTTTTTCTGTCAATTTATCTAATTATAATGGATTATACGGCTCCCCTCGCTTTATGATTTTAGTTTAGTTGTTTTAATTTTCAAATTGAGCTTGCCATAATGTTATCTGTGATTGAACAATTATTGTGATAGAAATAACCTTTTAACCTTTAAAAAAAATAACTTTTTAATTTGTTTTGTGATCGCATTTTATAATTTTGACATCTATATGACTATTGGAATTTTCTATTATTCTGATTGTAATTATTTTAGCTTTCTGGGCCTGAAGATGGGAATTGTCCGCCAAAACCAAACATGTCGCCCCCTGCTTTTTTTGAAGAATTTAAATTTAAATAAAAATTTTAAAGATTGTGAATTATTTGTCCCCTTACCCGCCTTCAGAGATTTTACTTTGATTTAAGATTTAGTTTTAAATCGTATATTTTTCTGGTTTTTAACCAGTAGCCTATGACTTTAAACGTCAAGCGATGTAAAACTATAATATCTGGCCATGTCATATTGTCATTAGATATCACTAAAATACGAGATATATTTTTATATAAGAAATCCACTTTATAAAGTTTTAGCAGCAGTATTTATAATATACGAAATTCAATGAATTACTTTATTGACAGAATGCAATAAACTGTCTGATGGTAAGACACTTAATGTCAAAGAAAGCTAGATAAAAGCAAGAAAAATTTACGCTTTAAAACTAAATCTTAAATAACTAAAAAAAGATTTAATTTAGGCATAGGAACATGTATAATCAAAAAGTACTCAATTGAAAAACCTTTTCACTAGTGAAATAAAAAAGTGGGTTTCCATTTGAAAAAAAAAATGATTTATGATAATTTTTTAATTTCTCAATTCCATGACAGCTACGGTCACTATTATAAAGACATTCAAACAATTTAATTTTTGAAATATATGGCATCTAGTCTTCTCTTTATGTCACACTGGCTGTAGTAATCACTAAATTTGACGTTTAGGCTATACAAATTTTGTTTGACAGGCAGTTTTTTCCTCCAAAATCTTAAATATTATTTTTCTCAAAAACGGTTAGGTATAGAATGTTTTATATTAAAACTTATAAAAATTTACAGAGAATTTAAGTGTGTAATAAAAAAATGGGGTACCCATTTAAAATAAGAAAGTTGCTGTGAACTTTCGGTATTTCCGGAAGTGCTGCCCTATTGAAAATATGTTTAATTGATAAATCTCATTGTGAAACAATGATGTGCAAAAAATCTCCGATCTAGATCTTGTAGTTCTCTAGAAACTTCTAATGCAAAACTTCTCAGCCTGGGACGCCCTGTATAAAGCCGAAAATATATCTGGCGAATGTTACCACTCGTTCGCATTCAGGAGGAAGTCTTCCTTGGTAGTAGACGTGCATTTGCAGCGAAATATACAAGGTGAGTCTTAAATAAGTACAAATATTTTCAGTACTGGTAGATCTCGTTAAAAGAAACATATAAATTCCAAAAGAAAATTCAAAAAATTGCAAATTTTCATTTTGCGAAAAAAACCTCCTATATAGACGTGTTTCTGGGGTCCAAATACGCCTAAAAATATTTGCACTTATTTAAAAGATTTACCCTCTATAAAGTTGTTTTTAAATCATACTATTATTTATTTACTCACTTGCGAGTTCTTGTAATTATGGTGAGTGCCCCTGTGCGAAATCTCAACTGGAAATGGTGGATACAACTCATCATTGACCAAACAAGATGAACCACGTGATGGGGCTGAAAGTAACTTGGCTGGGCTTTCATAATTATTTCGTTTATCATTTGCAAAGCTAGAAAAAAACTTTTCAGAAAAAACTTTCCGTTTTTTGTACTGCCTAATTTAAAAGAATTTTGCGTTTCTAATAACTTCTCTGTTATGCTCGATGTAGTCGAGTATGTTCATTACCCCCTCCACTCAAGGTCAATCAACATGATATGTGCAAGGCAAATATGGCGGCAAAGGCAGCGCATTTTTAAATTGTTTACCTTTAACCTGAAAAGCCGGTAGTGGTTTCTCGTTCCGATTGCATACCAGAAATAATTAATTATCCCTAGTTTGTTGTGCTTCTGCAACACGTTTGTTTAGTTCTTAGTGTTTAGTGCATGGTGTGATCAGAAAATTGTGATAAAATAAGAGTGTAATAAAAATCCAAACCAGACATTCCACATAGGGAACTTCAAACTTTTGTGCTTGTATTATTAATTATTTTAAGGTAAGAACTAGAAGTATTTATCAAGATAATTACACCTAAATGAGTAAAAAGCCTTCACCGCCAGTCTCCATAGTACTTTATAATGGTTACTTACAATAATAAAAAGATAGGTATTAAAGGGTTAACATTTTATTGTAGCATGCCTTTTACATGCTCTGTTTCAAATTGTCACGGGAATTATGAGGAGGTCCCAAGGTTTCTGCTTTTATATTCCCCAAAGATGACGAGCTTCGTAAAAAATGGTTGAGAGCTATTAAAAGAGATAATTTCACTCCTACTAGTAGTTCTCGGGTAAGAAGTGTATTAAATATGCTTCAAAAACGCCAAAGGCCAAAGCCTCTGTTACCCTAGTAAGGATGTAGTTAGGGCTACTGCTTACACTTACCTCACTATAAATAAAATATTGGAAGAAGAATCAAGCTTTTTACATCAAAAAGATCACAGAAAGATATTGACAACATTGATATTTGAAAATATAAAGGGCCTGGATGTAAGTCTTTTTTTAGGTCACAATTGTCCCTCACATATGTCAGAATTTATTATTAAATCCATCTTGTTCAGAATATCCAATATTTTATTGAAGAACTATGCAAAAAAAGGAATGACGTCTTTACCACAAAGACAATGCCCTATGTAAAGAGAAAGAGTAAAGAAAACTAAGCTAAGCGTAACTTTTACTTACGAACCCCCAAAAAGGTATTTAGTTTTTTTTTCTATATAAAATCTTAAAACACATATTATATTTTTTAGTTATCCTCACCTATTATAGTTTAAATTTATTCCCATTTGTGTAATGCTGCAAAACATACAAAAAATATTCCATATTTTTTGATCCAAGCCAGTGTAGTTTATAATTCCAAGAGCATTTACCAAGGCTTTTACTAAGACCAGTAACTTCCTATACTGTCCATAATAGTATATATTTATCAAACGTTCAGTGAATAATTCTATACTATGGTAGGTAAGTGTTTGCAATTGAATATTTAATTTATATTGCTATTTTCTGTCATATATTTCTGGTTATTTCTTTTTCCGATTATTTTGAACACAGTGTAACGTTTTTAGTTCGTTACATGTCTTTTTTACATATAATACATGATGTCTGGCCTATCGTCACCGGATTCCCTCTCGTTCAGGCCTGATAATTTTGTTGGTACGCTTGGCGTAATTTTTACGTTCCCTAGTCGCCAACCCTGCTATCGTTTCACTATTCTGTGGAGGCGCGCGTTGTCAACATCGCTTCTGTCAACTCTCTGTGATTTAACGGCACTTTTGGTTTGACCGTTTGGCCTGTCAGACGCCATTAGTCCCAGTTTTTTAGAAATGATGATTATTTAAATCTTGCTGTATAATCTGAATCAGCTGCTATTTCGAGGCTACAGGTAAAGATGAGTTATTACCTTTTATAGATTCGACATTATTATTGAATATTTTTAGGGTAGAGTTACGGATGTCCCAACTTGTATTTGTATTTTGCTGGCACGTTGGCGTCCCTTTTCTTTTGTCCTCCAGAATGTCACATGGAAGAAAGGACAGGTTGTTTATTATTTATTGAGCCCTCGGAAGTATTTCCAGGTAGGTTTATTTTGTTTATTAGACCTTGTTTGGTTTTAAACAAGAGTTTCATATTTTTAGGGTCCAAGGTACGGGTAGTGTCTTATGTACGACATTATCTTATGTACGGATGTCCTGTGGACGAGTGTCCCCAGTAAGAATGATTTTTTCTTACATATAAGTGCCACAGCGTGGATGTAGCTTGAGTCCCATGCTGCTTCGTTCCCAGCTATAAGCTAGTTAGTTACGGCTGTATCAATTCATGGTGTCCTCATTCTGGCCCCTTTGGTTGTGTTGGATGGCTGAGTACAGAGATGCGAGACCACCTCACGCTGTTACTGTTTAAAGCAAGATTACATAAAGAACAGCTAAGTGTAGATTTAAGTTCTAGTTTTACATTTAACATTTAAAACATTTACAGTCTTAAACAATAACGTACATCTTAAATAATATCGTACAGACTATGTTTAGTGGTTAGATTGTTAAGAACATTCATGTCGATTTAATATTTAATATAATAATTAATACTAAATATAATTTAGATCTTAGGTTTCATTGCATTACATCTTGTAATGGTATTACTTTTATAGATATTATTATCGCACTATTTTAACAGATGAATAACCAAACATAGATTCTAGAATCTACAGGTTGCAACATCTTCGATTTAGCATCATATGGAATATATCAAATTAATTAAAGTAATGCTACATTTCATATATTCTCTTAAACTTTACATGTCTTGTATTTTATCGTAGTTGTTTTCATTGATATTTAGTACGACTCTTACCACCACTTTCTTTGACATATAACCACTATATATTTATTAGAACTCTACAATGTCATGTACCATCTAAGAACATCATGAATAAATATAGTCATTAGTTTTAAGTAATATACAACTGTGTTTTCTTTCTCTGTACATGCCTGGCGCCCAATATTTATAATTTCGAGTTATTATTGTTAATTAGTTTCTTTCCAGTGAAATACCTTATCCACGACTGCTCTACCAACGAAAAGCTGCCGTTCGCAGTGATAATGTTTTAAAAAAACCCTACAACCTTATATATGCTAATTCAAGTGTGAATATTTTAGCACTACCTATTTTCTGAGAAAGCAGACATTTTTATAAAAAGTAACTGATGTTTTCATAAAAGTAATAATAAAAAAAATTCCATACTTATGTGGAGAACTTTAGACTCTCTGTATATTAAAAAATTAGTGAACTATTACGTAATCTAACCCGACATAAGTGCAAACATTTTCAGGGCTGGTTAGGCATTTTATCGAGATCTAAAAAGAAACATATTTTCTCTTTCTAAAAAGAAACATATTTACCATTTTTCACGTAAGTCCAAAATAACCGAGATATTTAAGTCTGAAAATTTAAAAAAAATGATTTTTTTTTGAAGAAATTTTGAGAGCCACCAGATTTTTTCTGTATTTGCATCCCTTTTAGTGCCGTAACTGGCCGTAACCACAGAGTAAAGCCGTAACTATGGTAATATCAGAGATTAAGAAATTACACCGGGGAAAATTTGCGGTGAACAGGCAGTTCTAAAAAGTTTTCAAAAAATATACAGGGAAATTTAAAAGCAAATGCACGATTTTTAACATCTTTTTTGCGGAAAAAACCTCATAGACGTGTTCCTGGGGTCGAAATATACCACCCATGAAAATATTTGCACTTATTTAAGACTCACCCTGTATAGTGTGTAAGACCGGGCTTTACAGTTTCATGATACCTAATATGGTATTCTATAACTAACGCTGTACGCCGTGGTTATATCTTTATGTTTATACCGCAACAATTAAAATATTGTTGCAGTATATCTGATTGGTCTCTGACATTGATTAACCTCAAATGTGAGGATTTAATCAGCTCGAATGGTTTAAGTCATATCTTGGCAACAGAAGGCAGCTTGTGAGGATTGATACGTCTATGTCTTCTTGTAGGCCTATATGTAGTGTCCCTCAGGATTCAGTACTTGACCCTATTTTGTTTCTGGTGTTTGTCAACGACATTGCCAAATCTAGACATTAGCGGTAAAATCTGCCTCTTTGCGGACGATACTAGTTTCACTTGGAGCGGCCCAGATGTTACGGTACTATATGATATTATATCCAGTGACTTCACACCATTAAATCTTGGTGCGATTCTAATTTCCTATGCCTCAACCTATCAAAAACTAAAGTTTTGTCATATAAAAGTACTATACAACCTTTTGTACTTAATAACACCACTATTGACGTCGTGTCGAGGACTCTGTGAAATTCTTAGGACTTGTTGTAGACAACTCGTTAAAATGGGACTTTCACACCGAAGCTCTATCAAAGAAACTAAGCGTTAAGATCAGTTTCTAAGGAACTTAACTTATTAACCTCTAGAATAGCCTATTATGCCCCTTTTGAGTCATATCTTCGTTATGCCTTCCATTCTGGGGTACTTGCTGCGCAACAAAGTTTGATCGTATTTTCAGACAGACTTCAAAAGAGAGCATCAGTTCGATATTTATTGGAACTGAACAGTAGAACTCACTGCCAGAATTTCTTTAAAAATTTCAAAATACTGACTCTTCCTTCTTTATTCATTTTTGAATCCGTCTGCTTAATCCGCAAGCACATATCTGCTATTCCCGAAAGGCCATCTCATAACTATCCACTTAGGAATGCGGAGCACGATCTTAATCTGCCAACCCCGAGCTCAGAACTAGTTAAAGGTTCAATACTGTACAATGCCAAAAAAATGTACAATCATCTGCCTTTGAATATCAAGTCGCTTTCATTCTTTTTCGCATTTCGCAAAGCTCTGAAATCATATGCGGTAAACGACTTTTTTGTTGATGTTTAATCATGAACAATTTTTAATTTTAAAATTTTGATCATCTCACACACTGGTCAAAGGTCAAGTATTTAATATTTTATAACTCTTAAAATTATATCTATTTACTGCTTACTGTTCTGCAATTGTCCGTGTATGTTCTTTTTGTAATTTTTAATGACTTAAATTTTTTTGAATTGTATGATTTGTATTGTGTATTTTTTGTTGTTTGTATATTTTTTTTTATTTTTTTAAACATATAGATAGTTAAGTATTCTTAACATTTTTGGCAGAGGATATTTTTGTAGTTTATTTATTTATCATCTACATATAAGATACACCCTGTATATTAAAATTGAATTTACCTTTGCCTCTCTTTATATGCAGCTCGTGCAAATCTTTTATGTGTTTCAGGCAACAGTTGCATATTTTCTTAACCAACACCTCAAACTTAGCTTCGGTCATTTTTTCAGGAATGCCAAAAACCTTTCGAATGCGTTGGGTCAAATCACTTCCCGAATTTATTGCTATATCTATATCCGATATACGAAACAAATCTGAAATATAATTCAAATTATCTTTATTTATATACAGGGAGGCCCGACGTGCCGGAAAAGCTTCATATAAGATTTTCTACCTGAGATTTGCACGAAAAAATAAATACACATTCAATAATAATGCTCATTTTATAAACAGAAATAAAAAAGTATTTTAATTTTGCTAAACAATAAAGATTCTTGCTAAAAATACTAAACAAATTAGAAAAAAAATAAAGTCCTCCTACTCTGGATGCCAGCTCACCAAGTTGTAGAGAGAAACAAGCCCTATAACATAGGATATAACATTTTAATGAACAGTGCTTTCCATAAAATCAATAAAATGAAAAATATACGAAATAATATACATGTACTGATTTCTTTCGAAAATCGACAACTATAAAACTGTGATCCCTTCCCCGACACAAACGGTACATTGTGAGACAGGAAATTGCAGGGAGAAACAAGCCCTATAACATAGGATACAACATTTTAATGAACAGTGCTTTCCATAAAATCAATAAAATGAAAAATATACGAAATAATAGACAAGTACTGATTTCTTTCGAAAATCGACAACTATGAAACTATGAACCCTTCCCGGACACAAACGGTACATTGTGAAACGGGAAATTGTAGAGAGAAACAAGCCCTATAACATAGGATACAACATTTTAATGAACAGTGCTTTCCATAAAATCAATAAAATGAAAAATTACGAAATAATATACATGTACTGATTTCTTTCGAAAATCGACAACTATGAAACTATAAACCCTTCCAGGACACAAACAGTACATTGTGAAACGGGAAATTGTAGAGAGAAACAAGCCCTATAACATAGGATACAACATTTTAATGAACAGTGCTTTCCATAAAATCAATAAAATGAAAAATTACGAAATAATATGCATGTACTGATTTCTTTCGAAAATCGACAACTATGAAACTATGAACCTTTGATATGCTAAAAAAATTTAGGCAAAGAAAATAAAGTCCTCCTACTCTAGATGCCAGCTCACCAAGGGATAGAAGGCAATGAAAAAGCAAACGATCTAGCTAGAAAAGGGGCGAACACTCCACTAACAGGGTCAGAAGGGTTCTGCTTCCCAAGTGGAAACCAACTTAAAGCGGAACTCAAAAACATGGAAGACTCCATCCATAACCTCGAATGGGAATCCTAGAACAATCTTCGGATTGTCACGGGGTTTTTAACAGGACACTGTGTGACACTGGGGTTTTAGGGTCCGAATTCTGAACACCTGCACCGATTGACGTGAAATTGTAACAGTCAATAGAGATATATGTAAGAAACAAAAGTTACATAGTAGCGACGTGTGCTTTCACCTTCAGCTTAGCTTCAAACCTAACCTAACCTAACCTAACGATCCATTTTTTGATGATTACCGTAGGTGTAATAATAGCCGAGTTATCATTATGTAAACGTGATTTTTTATTTTTCGAAAACTAAATTGCAACCTTTTACCGTAGAATAATGGCGAAAGAACACCTTTTTCGAGGAAAATGAATATGACCGTTTTTAAAGCGCTTGAAAAGACCTTTTAAATGCTTTCTTAAAAAAGTTCGTAGCTTAAAAACTCGCGGAGTTATGATAAAAATAATATGGTCACCTCATTTTTTCCGAAAAAAATTAACAACAAAATCTATGACTAAAATCATAAAAATAAAAACTAAGTGTAATACATGTACATTTGGCTATATTTAGGTACTAGCAATTGACTCTGCAAATTCGAGCGGTTTAGAATGCCTAAATTTGGAAAAAAGTTGAAAATAATGAAAAAAATGTATTTTTTGTTTTTTAAAAAATTTTAATTTTTTTGACATATCTCAAAAACTAAGCAAGATACGTAAAAAATGTAACAGAGGAAAATTGAAGGTCTTTTTTTGCAATATTTTTGCTCCCTTTTAATTTTTTTGTAGATCTCTTTATTTCGTAGATATTACGTTTTTTTTTAGTTTGACTTACATGTAAGGACCACCTTCTTTGAGCCCTTAAAACCCAAAAATCTCGTGAAAATGAAGAGTTCAAGACTGTTCAACTATAAAGGTTAATTTGTAGCTCGTGTAATTTCCTACAAATTGATAGTTTTTATTTTTATAATTTTAGTCATAGATTGAAATGAGGTGACAATTTTATTTTTATCATAACTCCGCGAGTTTTTGAGCTACGAACTTGAAAAGACCTTTAAAGAAACATTAAAAGGTCTTTTCAAGCACTTTAAAAACGGTCATATTCATTTTCTTCGAAAAATGCGCTCTCTCGCCATTATTTTACGGTAAAAATTTGCAATTTAATTTTCGAAAAATAAGGAGTCAAGTTTACAGAGTGGCTATTACTACACCTATGACAAAAAACAAAAAATGAACCGATTCGTTATTCCAAAACCTTCATTTATACTTTATATGAGTTTTGCGATAAAACGCAAGATTTTCGAATTAATCATAAAAAATTGCAGAAAAATATGCAGTTTTTAGATGAAAAACCAAGATTTTCAATCCTAAATAACCCGGAAAATATTAATTTACTGAAAAAATGTTATAGAACATTTTTTGCTTAGAATTCATCCCTTTATTGATTTTTGTAACTAAAATGGGTATATATATTTTTCACCCCCGAGAAGTTACGGCACTCACCCCCAGGGTGAAGGCACACATCGCTACTATGTAACTTTTGTTTCTTTCATATATCTCTATTCACTGTTAAAATTTCACGTCAATCGATGCGGGTGTCAAGAATTCAGAGGTAATACCCAATTTTTATCCTCGCTTATAGTCTAAGAGCTAGCAACGTTTTCGAGAAAGTATTTTAAGACGTCTGGCTCTTTGATATATCTTTCATTATGCTCTCTGGAACAGCGTGCAGGCCGTCTGGCTGCCGATACACGTTGCGTTCACTACTGCGCATCCAAAGAACATCCTATATTTTATATTTTTTACTTAGCGCTTTAAATTCTAGTATTGAATAAACACCGAGTCTCCATTAGCTCGACGCGTAGAGCTTTCGCCTATGAAGCGAAGGTCAGTGGTTCGATACCGGCTGGGGGTGTGCAACTTTTTTTTCGTTTATATTCTGATAGTAAAGTATTAAATATTTGTTTTTTTTATCACCAGAACGGATGGCGTTTATGGGTTTATGATCCGTAGTGTATATTAAGTAGAATTTGATACTTTCATTGGAGGATTATTGTGGTAATTAATTATTAGATAGGTTTAGGATGGTCTGGCTGCCGCGCCTGTAGGTTGCGTTCACTACTGCGCATCACATGGGTACAAGGTGTCTCATTTTCGTGCGTTTTTTGGGATTTCTCGTTTATGAGTGGAGATACAATGATGCGTTTTTTTCACGTTACTATGCTAGTTTTTTATGAAATTAAATATTCTACCTATAGATTTGGGCATTTTCTACACATTAACATTAATCAATCACGTTTAAAATGTATTATTATTTTATTTTATTTAATTTAACCAGATAATTTTGTTTTCCATCGTTATCTTAACAAACCGAACTGAAAATAAACTTGTGTAGCTTTTAGATAACAATCTGTTAAAAAAAGTATTATTAAAATGATTATTAAAATAATAAACAACTAAAAAAAATATTTTGAAGAAAGGCAGAAATTGCGCTAATAAAGCATTAAAATGTTAATTTTTATATATTATGTTTAAATCTTTAAAATGAAATTATAAAAGATTTAAATATTTTTATGAATGAGACAAGAAAAAATTACGGCCAATATTTTTAGTTTTATTTTTAGACATTATGTTTAAATCATTACAATCTAATTATTATGATTGAATTAAATATTTTTATTTAATATTAGTGTCAGCAAATATTTAGTACTTTACTATCAGAATATAAACGAAAAAAAAAAAAAAAAGTTGAACACCCCGCCAGTATCAAACCACTGACCTTCGCTTCATTGGCGAAAGCTCTACGCGCCGAGCTAATGGAGACTTGCCCGGTTTATATTCAATACTAGAATTTAAATCGCTAAGTAAAAAAATAGAGGATCTTCTTTGGATGCGCAGTAGTGAACGCAACGTGTATCAGCAGCCAGACGGCGTGCACGCTGTTCCAGAGAGCATAATAAAAGATATATCAAAGAGCCAGACGTCTTAAAATATTTGTTTTCCCGACGTTGATAGCTCTCGTACTATTAGTGGCCTATCAGCAGATTGAAGCTAACAAACAACGACGAATGCAGATTCTGTGGGGATAATGGGGAAACAGCAGAACACCTCATCACTAAGTGCGCCGAGACGACAACCATTCGTGTCATGAACTTTGGTACAGCTGGTATCGGAGATGGTAAACTAGCCTCTGTAAACCGTCTCAGATATTGGATTTTGTCAAAGCCTTGAGACTGTATTGTATGAGCTATAACTCAAGAAAGGGGGACACAATAGATCTTTAAGATTGTGGTGATTCGGCTCGGTAAAGTAAAAGTAGACAAATGTCTTTAAAATACAACATTTATTGGTCCAATTGTTAGCATTTCAAATACAGCTAAAAGGTTGTGCACAGATACTTTTCAAAAATTGGACTTTGCCAATAAAGATTACCTTCATATTTTTCCACGCATTAGTGAACATTTCTTTTTAAGTGATACTTGCTGGTAGGTATATATATAAAATTTCAGTGAAGGAGATCAGGAATTCAATAAACTATTAAAAATGTAGAAAATAAAATACTAAACATATACCAAATGAAGTTTAAAAATAATTTATCAAATAACTTACAACTTAAGCCCTCTGCTTCAGTCTTTCCCTCTGATTTCGATTTTGAAAGATTATCTGACATATTTTAAGATACAATCAGTAATATTTGGAAATAACTATGTTAAGTAAAAATAATGAGATGCAGTAAATTGACACGTAGGTCAAATTCAATAATGACAGGACCGATGGCAACAAATATGTGAAAAAATGACTTTAGATTATACAGCGTGTTTCAGAAACTACTGCTCAAAAATGAATATGACTAAAAATTTAATATCTACTAATTTTGAAGTTAAGGTTCTTTACGCGCCTTGGGAGTAAAAATTCAAGGCCGTGACGTGCGACCTAACGGGAGGAGAAGTGATAGTCGGTAGTGTTTTCACGGCTACCGCATTCGGGGTAGATTTACCCCTTTGTAAAAGAATTTAACCCTGTTATCTCGTGATAATCTACCCCGATGAAAAATAAGCTTGTGGCAACACTGGGTAACGATCTGTGCAATACGCATACGCGGCTAAGAAAATCACTATAATAAACTTAATACTGTACCAACCTTGATGTGTACCAATGGTCTGTTTGTAGCTTCTGAAAAACGGTTTCGGTAAGGCCTCTAGCTCATTTGCCAGTTCAGAATCAGAATTTAGAGTTAGTAACTCGCATTTTCGTTGGAGGACATTGTCATATTTATTTCAAACCAATAATCAACGATAATATTCGTATAATTTAATAAAATTACTGTAAATCACTATAAATAATGAATTATTTCTAACTGCGTTGTAATTCCTGTATTATTAATTCGGTAAATGATGGAGATAAACAATTGTGATTGGTTAGAATTTTATTTTAAGATGAAATTTTGTTTTTTATGACAACACAAGTGGCATCTGTATAAAAAAGATATTACAAGTGATAATTTGGAGTGACAATTTTAAATTATGCAAAAGAAATACATATTCTATGAGTTTACTGGTTGCCTAACGATTAAAATTAATTTAAAAATAGATCCCCAACATGAATAATGAACAAAGTAATTAAACAAAACCAGACCACACAAAACAAATTATTGTGGGTTAGTAGCAGATAGTAGCACAGCTGCATCCGGCCGGGTGATAGAAGTATCGTTTTTTAATAAAAATTAAAAAAAAACATAGTTATAAAGCTAGAATAGTATACGGTTTTATATTATCTCTAATTTGTTTGAGTTTATAAAAAGCATTCATAAAAAAATGTATATCCTTCAAATCGGCCAAGTTAATAGCTTTTTCACATCAAATATGCTCACATAGTGCACACACAATTTTTTATATTTATTAATATTTTAACTAACCTACTTCGGTTCAAAATATAAGGTGTAACGTATGCCCTTTTTGTTCATTAATAAATAATTAATAAGGTATTGGGGCACAATTTCTGCTTAGAGTATTTTATCATTACCATCCAGAAAAGAAGGCCTGACAGCTTGTGCGTGTCGTCACCGAAAGAAGTCTTCTTAAGACCAACTGGCAGTATGCGCAATTAAAAAATAAGAGTACAGGCCAAGTACTAGGGTTTGACCTCGCTAAAATTAGCATCGATTCTCATTCCCCAGACTTCTTTAACGTCGTTTTTTTTCGATCGTATGGTACTATATCTCACCAAGGAATATAAGGTGGGAAGTATATGTGAGATTAGAAGGTCCATTATAGTAGTAATAAACAAGTTGTAGAGTTAAATCGTTCAGAGAACATTCTCTCAGGCATCTGAAGTATTAGGTACCGCCCATCCATCTAAAATTGATTTAACCTAAACGTTTTTCTTATTATTTTACACATGTAGTGATGTGTCGTTTTTATACAGTCACCGGTACGAAAAACGAACAACTTAAAAAAGATTTTCATGTGTTTTATAAATACCGGGTGTTGCATCGTCGAGCGGGACATAGGAAATCCCATGTAAATTTTAATGGGGTCAATTATTGGCTTACCTAATTATTTTAGAGAATAATTAGGTTTATTGAAGAGCACTAAAACCCACATTCAAAAGAATAACTTTAGATATTTTTGATTAGCCCGTTTACGAGTTATCGCCGATTTCTTTTTAAATATTTCTCCTTTCTTATGGCCCTGTATTTACTTATGAGCACCAGTCAAGGTAAAAGATAACTGTCAAATGAAGTTGTCATTTCAGAAATTTATCTATTTAGTGCTTTATTATTATTATTAAAAACTCATACCTACATCGAAATAATTAGCCATGATTTACACTACCGAAGAAAAAGTATTGATGATTAAATGGTATTATCAAGGAAATAGTTATCAAAAGGTGTCGGACATGTTTGCTGCTCTGTATCCGAATAGACCGATACCTGGAAAATCTACAATCGCAAGGAATATCCAGAGATTTGAGACCAAAGGTACCCTAATAAATAACTGCAGATGTCAAGCAAGGCAGGAACAAGGAGAAGATGCAAGAAATGATACCGACTTAGAAGTTTTATTGTGCGTGGAAGAGAACGATGGAAAGATCAGCACAAGGAAACTTGAGGATGAAATAGGAATAGATCACACTACAGCGTTTCGAATTTTGAAACGACATAAATACTATTCCTTCAAATATGAAAAGCACCAAGAGCTACGAGATGGGGACGAAATACGGCGGCAGGCGTTTTGTTTTGATATGATGGAAAGAGCAAACAGGGATAGGAAATTTTTAAAAAACATAAGTTTCACTGACAAATGCACGTTTACCTTAAATAATGAACCCAATGTTCCAAATTATCGATATTGCAACAAAGAAAACCAACACAGGTTTGTTGAAACAAGGACGCAATATCTACAGAAAGTAAATGTTTGGGCAGGGATATTCGGACACAATATTATCGGGCCATTATTTCTTACGCGAAATTTAAATGCAGAATATTATTTGGAACTACTCGAAAATCATATTTTACCTGCTTTACATGATGCCACTAGGGAAAATCAGGATGTTTGGTACCAAATGGATGGCTGCCCGGCACATAGTACCCTGGCTGTTCGGGAATATTTAGACAATAGTTTTAACGGAAACGTTATTGGCCTAAATCCAATTGGCCAGCAAGGTCTCCTAATATTTCGTCAAATGATTTCTTTCTCTGGGGCCATTTAGAAAACAGGATATACAAGGATAAAAAATACCCAAATCTAGACAAAAAAGTTATTGAATATTGTAATAATACTATAATTAACCTTGTAATTTATTGCTTTATTTTACTTTAATTCATATTAATATGTATTTATAAATACATCTTTAAGATTTCCGATGTAGGAATGAGTTTTCAATAATAATAAAGCACTAAATAGGTAAATTTCTACTATATAGGTAAATGACAACTTCATTTGACAGTTATCTTTTACCTTGGTGCTCATAAGTAAATACAGGGCCATAAGAAAGGAAAAATATTTAAAAAGAAATCGGCGATAACTCGTAAACGAGCTAATCAAAAATATCTAAGTTATTCTTTTGAATGTGGGTTTTAGTGCTCTTCAATAAACCTAAATAGAATTATTCTCTAAAATAATTAGAGAAGCCAATAATTAACCCCATTATAATTTACATGGGATTTCCTATGTCTCGTCCGACGATGCAACACCCGGTATATTGTGTTCCAGTGGACAGATTTTGAGGATTTTTTTTAATAATGTGTAGTTAAATTATTTGACTTTTTAGCAGGGTTGGACAAAAACCCTTGATTTTTTTTAAAAAAATAAAAAAAAATCAGATTTATTTGATTTAAATCAGATTTTTTTTATTTTAATTCAAAACAATATTTAAATCGGTTTTCCAAATGACTAGGACTTATTTCCAATTAAAGTCCTATCTTAAATGGCTAAATCGTTATAACTCTGACTGATACCGATAACATTAACAATTCTCCGGCGCGTGTCATTTTTCCACATCGGTCACCAATATATTCCGCAAAAAAAGTTGCTCGCTTCAGATCAAAAGGATTTCTTTAAACATCTCAAAGATATTAACTTTTGTCATTTAAACGCCTAGGCATAAAAGTAAAGCACTGTTACGCCTAAGGACAAAAGTACAAAAATATATTATTAATCTGATATTAAGTGTCAAATTCAACGAGTGTACAAATTGTTGCTCGATTACTGTTCATATGATTTGCAATCCTTGAAATTGATTAAAAAATTATTTGTAATGTTTTAAAAGAAATAGTATGTTCTATTCGGAGTAAAAATGTCCTTTTTGTGCTCCCTGTAACGTCGTAATAGCTTTACGATGGTCCTTCAAAGGCAGCATCGTCAAAAAAAGTATAATTTTTACTCTTAATAAAACAATACTACTGTTACGAAATAGTCTTAAGTCGAGAATGAAATTAGTATGTATTATCTAATGTCGAAGTGTAAAGTACTTACTGCAGATCAAAATGTCGGTAGGAATTTGGAAACATACAACCGTTTCAAAAAAAAAAAAACATTTCGTTTTCTGACAACGATTATAGATTCTCGGGAATGAAGATATAGTCTCTATATCAGAATAACCTAGTTCTGCACTAGACTTTGCGAATGATATGTATGCGAACAGCGAATTTTGGTCACTTATACATAAATTTTAAAATAAATCCCTGCGTTTAGCGGTCTAATGGATTCATACGAAATTACTTGAAAAATCGGTCCAACATTTAAATTGATGAATATAAGGGAAATTAAAATAGCTTTGGTTGCACATCATAATACGACCACCAGCAAACTCCATAAGACGACGCATGGTGTCATTGATGACGTGCAACGAAAGTTGTTTTAATTTCCCTTAGATATTTTTATATAGTTTTATAACATTTACAATTATTTTTTGATTTACTATCTGTTATAGAAACTATCTATATATTTCGAGTTACTATCTGTCTAGTGTTCTAGGACACAGTTTTATAACTTTTACAGTTATTTTTTTATTTATTATAAAGTTTCAATAATTTTTTTTTCTTTTGATTTAAATCACATGATTTAAATTAAAAAAATCACTTGATTTAAATCACGATTTAAATCATGCCAACCCTGCTTTTTAGCATATCTTTCTAAAATAAATTAAAAATGAAAATTGCCATTTGTCAATTATACGAGGGAAAACAAATTGTTGATATTTTGGCAAACTTTTGAAACATCCTATGGAGTACGTTAACGAAACAAGGAATTTAAAAATAATTTTATCATTTAGATATACCTTTTGTCGATAGCTTGCTTTTTGATTCATTTCAATAGCTTTATTTTTTTGGAGATATTCGTTTTTGAAGGAGACACTTTTTTTCAGACAACATTTTTCAGACAATATTATTTACATTAAAACCATGCTTTTGGTCCTAGTCAACAGACCTACAAAATGGTGTTTTCTACTAAAAAAGCATTTCTACTAGTGTAAACATCAATAAAAAATACTAATATGACCTTTCAATGACAGTTACATTACAAAAACAAGAAACACTATTTTATAAGTGTTGATGAGGACCCAAAATCAATGCTAAAATTGCTGTAAATTGTTACTATCTTATTCTAAAGCAAATATCTCTAATAAAATAAAGCTATCGAGATGGATTAAAAAACAAACTATCGAGAAAAGACGTACCTAGAGATGATAAAATTATTTTTAAAATCGTTGCTTTCTAAACATATTCCACAGGTGTTTCAAATTTTCACCAAAATATCAACATTTTGTTTTCCCTCGTATAATTGACAGATGGAAACTTTCATTTTTAATTTAGAAAGACATACTAAAAAGTCAAATAACAATTTAACACAAATTGCTTAAAAATCATAAAAATCGGCTAATTAGAACAAAATATATTAAACTTTAAAATACATATACAGGGTGCTACAAATTCAAGGTACGAGCATTGCTATCTCGGAAACTGTAATAGATACGAAGATAGTTAAATTGGGGCAAAGTTGCGCCTTGGCATGTTCACCAAGATGCCATCAAAAAAGTTTTAAAAATTTCAAGGATTGCTGAGTTTTTTGGAAAAAACGGATTTTTTTGAAAGTCAATTTTATTTTTTCCTGTCGTTAGTTTTAAGAAAATCAAAAAACTAATTACACATTCTCATAGCCACTTTATCTGATAGTATTTTTAGATTTTCAAATCAGCTGATAATTTGTGAGATACAGAGGCCAACTTAATTTTTTTAAATACGGACCTGCATTTTTATTTCAGATTTTGAAAGAACTCGCTCTCCTGAGTACAGTGATATGCCACACTTAATATTTTTTTTTGTTTTGGAAATTTGGACACAATTTATTTAAACTAATTTCAAGTCCGGCTCTGTTTTTTTTAATAGTTAATATATTCATCGTTACAATATTGATAAGCTTTCAAACTTAACAGTGACGTTGGTTGAATACGGAAAATCAAATGCAATAAAATAATAAAAAATAATATAAATAAAATGTAATATAATCAATCAAATCATTTCCCCGGAAGATGGATTGGAAATGATAGAGCAGTATAATGGCCAGCGAGGTACCTGGACCGTCTGATGACGTCAAGTAATTCGACAGGTCCAAATTTTACAAAAAAGTGAAATCAACACATCACGGCAGTTACAATAAAGAGTACAAAATGCATTGGAAAGTATAAGATATATTCAAAAGCTATAAATAAGATTGAATTGCGTGTATTTTCTGTGTAAATACTAGCACCTCAATAAAAAAAATAATGTGTCCTTATCGTCCTTATCTTTATCTGACTCAAAATCAAAGATGCCGGTTTTTTTCATACCATTGCCACCGACCGCCGGCCGCTGTCGGGTTTCTAGGAAAGAAACCTACGTCGCCGGGCGACAACTAAAATCCAGTTTATATTTTATTATAATCGATCCTGACGAATAAATGAATTTTATAAATGAATGGTTTTTGCTGCCGAATTAATATATTTCAAGGCAGATGACGCATCTATTCGATATTTTTATTCGAATAGTTTTCAACGAATGTTTTCTTACTAACTATCGAATTATTCGAAAGAATTGCAACTATCGAATGTTTCGATAGTATTCATTCGATAGTTCCCACTACTAGTGGTAACCCTTTCGAACAAGTAGACTATGTAAAGCATTAGAAACTAGTTTGTAGAAGTTAATTTATTCATAATCACTACGATTAATATTATGCAAATTATTAGATCGTACACTGAGAATTTCAAATTCACAATAAGAAAAATTAAAAATAATATCTTTAAATTGCTGATCTGGATATTATTTATTTGAATGTTTCAATTGGCTCAATTTTCCTTATTCAATGTTAGTTAGCACTGATTAATATTGTTGCGATGAATATAATCAGATTAAATAATTTAAAAAACAGAGTCGGACTTGATTTTTTTTTTAATAGTTTTGTTGCTGTTAAAGTACCCAAAACAAAAAAAAAATATAAAGTGTGGCATATCTTTGTACTCAGGAGACTGAGTTCTTTCAAAGTCTGAAATAAAAAATGCACGTCCGTATTTAAAAAAAATAAGTTGGCATCTGTATCTTACAAATTATCAGTTAATTTGAAAATCTAAAAATACTCTAAGATAGCCCTAATAAAGTGACTATGAGAATGTGCAATTAGCTCTTTGATTTTCTAAAAAGTAACGACAGGAAAAAATAAAATGGGGCTTCAAAAAAATCCGTTTTTTCCAAAAAACTCAACAATCCTTGAAATTTTTAAAACTTTTTGATGGAATCTTGGTGAACAGCCCAAGACGGCAACTTTGTCCCAATTTAACCATCTTCGTATCTATTACGGTTTTCGAGATACCAATGAATGCTCGTACCTCGAATTTGTAGCACCCTGTATATCTAAATTTTAAGGTGCCCGTTTTTTTGTATCGGTGAGTGTATTGTGAGTAGTATCTTTCTTTGAGCACATCTTAAGCTTGATTTTCATGCATCCGTTATACGTTGATACGATGGGCCGACCGACGCGCGACGCCGACGCGACGGTGCTCTGATTGGTCAGCGTTTTCGCGCCACTTTTCATCCGTAGATATTTTACTTCAGCCCGTCAACGGACCCGTTCATACGATAACGGGCGTTTTGATACTTTTTTGACAAATTTAATCTAACCCAAATCTAACCTTAATAAAAATATAAGTAAAATAGCAAAATCGTTGTGGAAACGAAAATATAAAATAACAGCAACGTATATCCGATAAACGGAGGCATGAAAATGCAATAAATTTAAAAACTGCGTTATTTTCTAACCAATCAAAGTCTTTAAATTCTACCAATAAAATTAATATCGTATCAACGTATCATCAGACAACGGATGCATGAAAATCAAGCTTTAAATTCTAGTTAAAGTCCGTGAAGATCTTGACAGACGTCAATTTACCTACAATTAAAATACAAAACATGCCCCTTTAGAACTTTTTCTTTAATGGCCATAAGCGGGAGTAAAAGCCCAACCGCCCGAACAAACACTAGAGGTGCCGGTCATCAAGTGCTACCGGTCATCAAGTGGTGTAAAAATTGCGAAAATTTAATCTTCTAATTTTGACACAAGGGGTCGGGCTTAACTTTTTCAATTTTAATTCAATATTCATTGCTTTCAAACTATATTATTAGACTTTGTTGTATTTTGTGAATGTATAAATGTTTTCTAAGTATAAAGTTGCATTATAGTAATTTAAATTATATTACATACATATTTCTTCTTCTTCTTTCTTCTCAAACTCTCCTTTTCAGGAGAGAGTTGCGTTGCCTAGGCTGCCAGGACCATTCTGGCAAATTACTTTTCTGCTTTTCTTTTTTCTTTTTTTTGGGTGGTCAAGTTTTATGAACTTTCACCGATTTATCTTTCTTAACGACTAACAATTATTGAGGCTATTAAACAGGTTGCTTTAAGCTCTGCAACTATTCAGTTATGCATGCATTCTACGATTGAAGCTACAGCTACAAGTCCCAATAATTACTGTGCATTTCAAGAAAATGTGATTATGACATTTCCAATTTACGGCTAGTTTTATTTCTTGATTATAAAGTTAATGTTAGGCTTGTTATTAGTAAATATTTAGAGTTTTAAATTACTAACATTCAAAAACAAAGCGATTTGTTTTATGTGTTCTGTCTTGTTGAATTTAAAAAGGATGTCATGCAGGGAAATCGGGTTTTGCTCTATCTCCTTGTCGAAATAGGAATATAAGATTTTTTGGTGATTATAATTATGTGGACAAGCAATTATCAAATGAAAGACATCAGCAACCTCTCCACACTGACACAAATTATCTCTATTAATTCTGATTTTATAGAGATGTGACGGGGATAAGCAATGATTTGATCTGAGTCGACACATGGTGGTTACTTGTTGCTTTGTCAAGGATTTATATTGTTTGAACCATGGTGTCCTGTATGGCTGCTGAACTGTAGTGCAATATTCTTTCCCTTTCGTTCTACCAATCGCTACAAACCTTTCTTTCCATTTATTATATATGAATTCTTTCATTTTTGGTATAAAGGTTTTATAATCTGCTTTGGGTGTTAGTGTGGGAGGTAAGAGCCGCCCAGCGTTGGCCAACTTGTCTGCTTCCTCATTTCCATAAATGTTGGTATGACTTGGTATCCATGCTAATTGTACGTCCCTTTTGTTTATTAATTTCCTTCTTGTGACCAGTGTTAATTCGTCCGTTTCAGCGTCTATTCCAGTTTTGCTTACCTTCTTTAGGGCACTTGATGAATCAGAGAATATAACTGCCTTGGCGATGTCATATTGTTCTATTTTAAGTAGGGTAATGTATATAGCATAAACTTCTGCAGAACAGATAGAATGAAAATCTGGCATTCGACCTGAGTGTCTTAGTTCGCTGACTTCTGAGAATACCCCCACTCCAACCTTCCCGTCTTGATCTTTTGAGCCATCTGTATAAATAAATACACTATTTGGCCATTTTTCCTTAGCAAGATTTATAAAACTTTGTTTATTGTTAGTCTCCTTTCTTAAATTCATATATACAGGGACGATTTGGGAGAACTCTTACTTGTTCCAATATTTGAGCAGCATAATCTAGTGCTTCTACAAGAGGAGGGGCTGTCTTCCAACTGTCTGGAGCTTCATTATATCTTGCATACAGTTGTATGAGCATGTTTCCAATCGGATTTTCATACGATAAAACTTTCAAAGCCTGCTTAGTTCCCAGGGCCTGACTTCTCAGATCTAACGGCAATTCTCCACTTTCAGATAAAAGGATGATAGTAGGGGTTGACCTCATCATTCCCAGTGCTATCCTTAGGGCCTGAAATTGTATCTTATCCATTTGATTTAGATCTTTTTTATTGGCTCTGCTCAACAGGCAACTTCCGTAACCACGTTTTACATAATGCCCTCATGATATTGATTCCTTGTTGCGGCTTGTTACATATGTATTTTATATGACTTGTCCATTTCAGATTGCGATCCAGTACAAATCCTAGATGCTTGACTTCAGACTTCCATTCTATATTCAGATTATTCCATTCAATAGATCTCATGGGATTCCTGCTAGAACGTCTGGTGAAAAATATAGCTGATGACTTCCCTGGAGAAATTGACATTCCGTGCCCCGTTAGCCAGGTGGAAATGTTTGTTAAGGTTGCGTTTATTTGATCAATGTTGGTTTCAGTGTCCTCACCCGTACATAGTATGGCTAAGTCATCTGCATACTGAAAGACTTTTACCTGACCAATAGCGGCTTCTTCGATTGTGTCGCAATATAGATTAAAAAGTATAGGAGCCAGGGGAGACCCCTGTGGACAACCCTTGAAGGCTATTCTGGGATCTATTAGCATTCCAGTAGAGGGATCCTTAACATAAATCTTCCTATTCCCTAAAAATTTCATAATTAAACTCGCCAAGTCATATGGAATGTCTAAAGCATAAAATCTTTCCCATAATTTATTATATTCATTATCATATGCCGACTTGATATCCAAGAAGACACCAACTGAACTTTGTCCCTTGCTAAAGCCGATCTCTACTTGAGTGCATATTAACATTGCATTTTCCAGTGCGTTTTTCCCTTTGCGAAATCCTGCTTGCAGTATAAAGTTGCATTATAGTAATTTAAATTATATTACATACATATTTAAGATTCAAATATTATGATATGTATGTCAGTTGCCGTCTAAAATGTCATCTTGATAACAAAAAGTTAGTTATTGTCAAAAGTAGTTAAAATCATGTTAAAATATTAAAATTTACAAGTTATAATTAGATATGTTATATTATTTCAACAACAAACACATAATAGTACAGCGTAATGTTGATATGCAGGTTCAAAACAAAAAGTACCGTTATATTTTTCAGTTTTCGTTGTCAGACGCGGAAATTTCAGTGATTTTAGTGTTGTCGGATATTTTTATTTGTGAAACAGAAATATTGCGTTTGGATTGCAAAACTAAAAGTGGAAGTTTTATTGCAATGTAAGTAAGCGTTTGTCCATTTTATATTTTACTTTTTTCATACTTACGACAAATATACATATATTGAAATTTTATAATTCGTTTTATTTATAAAAATGTAAAAAAAAACTTGTAATCCTGTAATAATTGTTATGTAATATATTCCATTTAAATGTAATATATTACTTTACAATTAAAAAAAATGTAAATTTAAAAAATATATTAAAATATATACAGGCATTAATTGAAATTTTTTGAGTGCGAACAAACACGAGAGGCGCTTTATTATTTACTTTCATTTCTTAACATGACAAACGAAGTTTTAAAGGGGGATGTTTTGTGAGTTAAAATGACAATCATAAATCCCCTCATTGGACAGACTTTAGAAGATGATTTCTTTTTTATGTTTTATGTAGCTGAAATAAAAAAAGGAAATGTAGTTAAATAAAAGAACAAGAAATTGTATTAACAGTCTATTTAAGATAAGTCATAGTATAATAAGCAATACTAAGGGCTTAGCTCTCCTAAAACTATTTACAAAAGTACAGCTACATTTTCAATTCTAACCTGGAAACTTTGTTGATATTAATATAGAGTATATTCCGCAGTTAAAATTTCACAATAAAAATTAATTTACTGCAGATATTTAATTTATACCGTTATTTAAACATATAGCATAATATAAATATTAATAACGGTATTATGGTATTGAATTACAAACCATTTATTTAAAATCAGTTATGAATGATACTATGATACATTTATAAAGTGGAATAATTTTTAAAATGTTGCTTGTTTAATATAAATACACCGAGTTAAAAGCAAACATTTAGGAATAATAAACGTCGATTTTACTTATGTTTAGACTTTTTCTTCTTTTTCTTGTTCTTTTTGTGCTTCTTTCGCTTGCGTTCTTTTTCAGAATCACTGGAATCCTCGCTGGAGTCTGAACTGCTACTACTACTACTCTCCTTCTTTTTCTTCTTCCTGTGCTTCTTCCGTTTCTTCTTTCTCTTATCTTCCTCCGAACTAGAACTGGACGACTCCGAACTACTACTTTCCTCATCCAGTTCGCTTCGTTTCACTTCCTTCTCTTTCTTCAAAGCCTTTTCGATGTCGCTCGTTTCATCCTCGTGCAATTCGAGATCGTAGTCGGGTTCGAAGTTCGCTTCGTCCAAAGTCGGTTTTCTTTTTTCGGTGGCTAGTTTCAGTTTCTGTTCTTCGAGCTCTTCCTTGACTTCTTCGTGTTTCTTCGGCTTTTCCTTTTCTTTCTCCTTCTTTGTTTTCTTCTCTTTTCTTTTTCGTCTGTGCTCCTCACTGTCGCTACGTATTGGGGTTTTCTTCGTGTGTTTTTCCTTGCGGTCTTCTGGTTTGCTTCGTTCTTTATCATCACGCCTGACTCGTTTATTTCTATCAGCGTTTCTATCAGATCTGTCTCGACGTTTACTGTCTCTTTCACGACTGTATTCACGTTTTCTGGATTTAGAACGTCTACGATCGGAACGCCTGTGTTCTTGAACTTCTATTCGGCGATCTCTATGTGTGAAAGGTGGCGAACTCTTCTGATTCTCTACCAGAATTATCCTCGGGTCGGGATCGTCAACTTTCACACCTAGCCTGTCCTTAACAGACAACCTCGGTCTTTCCACAACCACATCCGCAACCTTGACGTCTTCAACCACTATCTCTTTTTTGTCATCGGAATACAGCTTGGCTCTATCACCGCTGATCTTCTTGATCTCGATTGGTCTAATCGAGTTAATGGCTCTGGCAAAAATGACATTCTCCGCGCGTTTTAAGACTTCATTAGAGACTTTAGCTGGTTTTGAATCCGATCCCTGATCTTTGAGGTCTTTGGGACTGGTTTGAATTTGCCCGTCTTCGTCCACCTCCCACTTAGACTTCTCTGGCACGGGAGCGAGTATATTTATGTCACTCTCCTCGAGCCTGATGTCCATGTCGGAATGAAGTTCTAGAATTCCACTGTCTTCTTCCTCTAACTCTTTGTGAACGACCGGCTCCTGATCGTCGGTAACTTCACCATCTTCTTTTTCTTTGAATTCTTCAGGGTTTGTATCGAATACTTGTTCAGTATCTTCGACATTCATATTAGGAATATTCTCTACTACTTCCTTATCAATTTCTGTTTCCGGTATTACTTTGTCGTAGAGATCAGGAAGCTCGGCGGTTTTTTGGGCTTCTAGTTCCTTTCGGCGTTCCTCTTCTTCTTCGAGGAGTCTCCTGGCTTCCTCAATGGCCTTTCTTTTGATCTCTTCTTTGCGCGCTTCTTCTTCCCTCTTGCGCTTCTCATCTTCGATGAATCTTAAACGGCGTTCTTCCTTTTTACGTTCTTCGGCTTGTCTTTTCAGTTCGAGTTGTTTTTCTTCTTCTTCAGTTAGTTCTTTTTGTTCTGGGTGTTTCCTAGTATCGTCCTTCTTATGTTTATGTTTCTCGTCTGATTTTCTGCGAGATATTTCAGGATCGTCCTCGCTACCGCTTTTTGCTCTTGGTATGACTTGTTTAAATTCGTCTTTCTTTTCTTTCTCTTTCCTGTCACTTCTCCTGTGATGCTTATCTTTCTTGTCTTTTTTCTTCCTCTTCTCGTCTTTTCGGTCTTTATGTTTCTTTTTCTCCTTGCTTTTCTTTTTGTCATCATCAGAATACTCCCGAGCCCTCTCTTTATCTCTTCTTCTTTCTTCTTTGGATTCCGACGAAATTCGTCTCCTCTTCGACCGATCTGGAGTTTCGTCTTTCGGTTTTGGACTAGGATTTCGCCATTTCTCGGGCGAAAGCGTCCTAGACCTCGATCTCTTATTCTCCTCCCTTCGTCTAAGTTTATCCTTTTTGTCCTTATCATCTTCTCTGGGATATTTGTCTCTATCTTTTTCTCTAATTTCCGGAGTCTTCTTGTCTCTGTTCAAATCGGGTGGGAGTTCACTTTCCAGGCCAGGAATGGGAGGTTGTTCGATGCCAGGAGGGGCGACATCGGCGTATTTTCTTTCTGGAGGGACGTTTTGCATGTGAGGCGGATGATAATCTCGAGGTGGATATCTAGACAAGAGAAAAATATTATTAGAAACGAGAAATATTTCCAGTCCTAAGATCTAAATAAAATACAAGTCTATATACATCAAAATGCCTCTTAAATTTACGTTTCACAACTTTACCTCTTTGGACAAAGACTATCGTTACTAAATGTTTTATATATCTGTACAGAAATTGTTTTTATTTAGTTAGAAACGTCAATATTGGACTGTAAAAGCACAACATGACTAGATATGTCATTTAGGTTAAAATCTCTTATGTTACAACCATAATACTTCAAAATATTTATGCATAGAATGATGTTACTCATTGAAATACATTCATCAGCTGACTGTACTGCTATGATTGGATTACACATATGTCCAAAGTGTTTAAAGAAAACATTATAGCATATAGTAATTGATTTTGTGTAATCTTAAAATAGTATATTAAATATCTAAGAGGGAAGTATTTCATTACTGTCGAGAGATTGATATTGTTCGCGAATCGAGACGCGTAGCGTCGAGATTAACTAAATCTCGAGATAATAATGAAAACTTTCCTCCGAGGGTTGTATACTATTTTATTTACAACCACATCATTAATTAAAAAATATGGACAGTATTTTATTTTGAAAAAAAATAAACATGCGAAAATTTGTCGTTTTCTGTTTTGGCATTTCCATACCTATAGTTACCGGTACCAGCGGTTGTTATGGCGCAAATCATCAACAGCAAAACAAACAATTAGGCGACACTTTTGAATTTCTCGTTAACATAGAACATAGAAAGCCAGAATGTTGTCGGAAAATTCTGATAACGAAGACTACTTTAATATTGGTACTCCACCAGAACTTACAGAAGCTGCAAGAAGAGCAGAAGCCAGTTTACTTCCAGAGAAAAGTAGGGGGCGATATGAAATAGCATTGAAAGTATACGAAAAATGGTGTGCCGAAAGAAATTCTAATATTGTTTCGGAGAGTTTTGATGGTATATTTTAGTGACATGGCAATATATACATATTTTAGTGACATGGCAAGGCAGAAAATGCTTTTATTTCGGTAACATTCGTTCTAAGGTTGAAAGTGTTAATTTTAAAATATTATTTATTTGTATAGATTATATTGTATGAAAAACTAAAAATCATAGTTGGTTATAAAAACCAGCTCTAAGAAAAACTAATATGTAGATGACAGAAAATACAATCACATGTGAACTAAAATGAAAGACAAAAATTGTCACTGTCATTCTTGTCATGAATCCTCTTATCGGGCAGACTTTACATTCTGTGCATTGGTTAAACAAACATTTGCTTAGTAAAATATATGTTTAATTGTTTATTTAGAATTAGGATTCGATAAACAAAGTACTGTTTTTAATATTTCTAAAGTACTGTTATTTGTTGTAGTACAAATGTATTGTACCGTTGTTGAACGGGTTATGAAACGAATGAAAACCCTTGTAAATTGTACATTTTTACTAAAGCCTGTTAGTCATTAGGCTGAGAGGATACATCATAGCGACAGTTGATGTTGTTTTAATTCACAGATAAATTGTCTTTTCTATCATTTCTAAAAGGTCTGTCTAAATCCCTCCTGATTTGATGAATAAAGTTTAGAGTTTTTTTTGTGGTAAAAATTCGAGGTATCTGATGAATTGATGAATCAAATTGTTATTTTTAATTCATAGTCTAGCCTTAAGATAAAATTTCAAATTCATTAGTATAAGAAAGTATCAATAGCAATTTTATTTTGGCATTTTTATTTGTATGTACAGGGTGAATCTTAAATAAGTGCAAATCTTTTCAGGGCTGGTAGATCTCGATAAAAGAAACTATTTTCTCTGTACCGTTTTTCAAATAAATCCAAAATAACCGAGTTATATTACTTTGAAAATTAAAAAAAAAAAAATATTTTTTGCTTAAATTTTGAGAACCACTGGATCTTTTCTTGATTTTCTTCCTTGTAATTATCTACTACCTATGTTGCCATTTTATTAAGAAATTATGTTTTTTAACTAAAAACTAAAAAAAATTCCAAATTTTTTTTCAAAAAATTTAAAATTTTCGCAGAAATGCGCGCGAAAAAAAATTTTCATAGGCGGGTTTCTAGGGTCGAAATATACTACTCCTAAAATTATTTTGCACTTATTTAAGACTCATACTGTATATATTAGGTAGAATTAACTTCTTAATAATAAAGTTATGGAAATATTTAATATTAATTTCTTCAATAATTCATAAGCTTTTATACTAAATATTTGATTTCTATGATATTTATTAAATAAGTGTAAGCTCATATCCGTGAGTGGTTGCATCAGATTTTCCACTAGCTGTTATTATAAGTTTTCTACATTTTTAGCTGAAATCACTTTTTACCATTATTCTTTGTTAATAGTTTTTCATTTCACTATAATATGCCTTGGGTTCTTTCTAAGAAAACTATTTGATATGTTCTTAATAGATTACATTTACTTGAAAACTTCTGAAACCAGTTTGGGTGTTTTTATATTGGCATGCGATATTATTCCTGAAGCAGGGAAGCATATCAAAACTCCAAGCTTTTAAAATGTGGCTATAGAGAAGGATTCAAAAGATTCCATCGACACTTAAATCACGATCACCAATAAAAGTGTTACGGAGATTGAATACAACCCCAGAACTAGTCAACATTGTGAAATGTCGGAAGCTTCAATATCTGAGTCACATAATGAGAAGGGAGGTACGAGCTGCTGGGGTGCATCTTGCAAGGAAAAATAGAAGGGAAAAGAACCCTAAAACGAAGAAAAACTTCTTGGGTTGTCAATCTTAGGCCTGGTTTGGAAAAACATCCACCCAATTGCTCCGAATGATAGATAACTAATAAAATCAGCATAGCCAGAATGATCGCCAACGTTCGAAGCAAACAGGCACTTTAAGAAGATATAGGAATTATAGTTTTCTTTTTGGTTTGAAGTGCAAGCAATGAACATTTCTTTCATAATTTTTGGAATATATACTTTATTTCATCTGAATACATATTTTCTTAACCTTCAAGTAGATCAGAAAAGACTAGTTGAGATATTTTAACCTTTTAAATTTCATATGTATTTTACAAAGCACAAAACTTAAAAAATGATTTAATTAATAATTCAATGAAAATATTCAATTGTAGATAAATATAGAAGCTTATGCGGCACAGATGCTGCACAACCACGAGAACAAGCAGGCTTTAGAAGCGGCTTCAGAACGATAGATCACATACATAAGCTAAGAGAAACTATCAGCCGAACAAAAGAATACGAACTTCCACTAGCCATAGCCTTTATAGACTTTGAAAAGGCTTTCGACTCGGCAATAATAGAAGCCCTAGCAAATCAAGGTATTGACAGGCCTTACATAGAAACTCTCGCGAATATACAGGTTGTTAATTTGTTTATTACTCGCGGCAAGAGCTTTATGATTAAAATATGGCAACCTCGATCCACTCGTCGAGAGACAACGCGACGCGACGGTGACGGGACGAGTCGGCAGAAAACCCTATAAGTGCATGCGTTCTCAATAGGCAGTGTTGTCATTCTGCTCCCCAATAAGTAATCGTCCAGTTAACGATCTGTATACAAAGAAGCGAGAGCAAGAGTAATTATATATAAATCAATCCCAACCACTACAACTGGCAAAGGAGTACGACAGGGCGACGCAATATCCCCAAAGCTGTTTACAGCAACACTAGAAGAAGTCTTCACTTAGCTAGACTGACCAACATAGTATTAAAAATAGATGGAGAATATCTTAACCATCTAAGACTCGCCGATACCATAGTCCTAATAGCAAATACTCCTGAAGAACTACAAACACAAATTAACGAACTAAATACATCCAGCAATAAAGTAGGTTTCAAAATTAATTTAGCAAAAACTAAAGTAATGTTAACGAACTAGTAGACAGAAAAAAAAAGACATTTTAATAAATAACACATAACGGAAATAGTAGAAGAATACATATATTTGGGACAACTAATATACAGATCGGGATCTCTGCTATCAGAAATCAACCAAAGAATTAAGTTAGCATGGAAGAAACTCAATCATATTCAAATCTAAAATGCCACTTTATCTAAAGAAGAAAACACATTCGAGCAATGCGTACTACCAGTCATGACCTATGCATGCAAAACCTGGATTCTTAAAACGGTTAGTAGATGCATTTATGCATCTACTAACCAGATACACACAATTTTTGTCTAGCTCTAGTGTCATTCAATTGCGTAAGCCGTTTTAAATAAGTCTTTATACCCCCCTTTCCAATATGATAAACACATTCGAGCAATGCGTACTACCAGTCATGACCTATGCATGCAAAACCTGGATTCTTAAAACGGTTAGTAGATGCATTTATGCATCTACTAACCAGATACAATTTTTGTCTAGCTCTAGTGTCATTCAATTGCGTAAGCCGTTTTAAATAAGTCTTTATACCCCCCTTTCCAATATGATAAACACATTCGAGCAATGCGTACTACCAGTCATGACCTATGCATGCAAAACCTGGATTCTTAAAACGGTTAGTAGATGCATTTATGCATCTACTAACCAGATACACACAATTTTTGTCTAGCTCTAGTGTCATTCAATTGCGTAAGCCGTTTTAAATAAGTCTTTATACCCCCCTTTCCAATATGATAAACACATTCGAGCAATGCGTACTACCAGTCATGACCTATGCATGCAAAACCTGGATTCTTAAAACGGTTAGTAGATGCATTTATGCATCTACTAACCAGATACACACAATTTTTGTCTAGCTCTAGTGTCATTCAATTGCGTAAGCCGTTTTAAATAAGTCTTTATACCCCCCTTTCCAATATGATTACTCAGTCAGTTTTTCGCAGGTATTACTTTGTGACACTAGGAGTAATACTAGCTCATTTATTATTGAATGTTGGGCATATTATATCGAAGGTAAGAGAATAATGTTGATGGCACTTGTTGATCTTCAAATACTGCTAAAATACTTTACTTTTAACATTGAACTTTTAACATCTAACCAAC